GAGAGAGGCAGAGGGAGAAGCAGGCTCCCAAGGAGCAGGGAGCCCGATGTGGGATTCGATCCCAGGACCCTGGGATCATGACCTGAGCCGAAGGCAGACGCTTAACCATCTGAGCCACCCAGGCGCCCCTGGGTCCTCAGCATTTGTATTGCATTTGCTCAGCTAAGTGCTTGGAGCACACTGTGACTTACAGGTGCAAAAATAGTCAATGTCTGAGTGGAATTTGGCAGCAGGTTTAATCATTATCATCTGTGAAATAAAAGGCTTTGTAACTTGATTAAACTGTACCAGGTTTCTTTCATTTAAATGGTTCATTAGTATTTAAAAATGATGAAGCAGAGAGTCCTGGATTATAAACATAGAACTGAAAAAGACAATTTTTTTTCCCCTTCAGTAGTTCAGTACCTTTATAAGGCAGAGCAACGCAGACCCTGGGCACATTGTGAAATCCAGAAAATACTTCGTGTCAGCTGCCTACTTGCTGGTCCTGCAGGGCTCTGTCTCGGGCTCCGTTCTCCTGGTTGAAACCAGAGCTCAAGAGGATGGTGACACATGATTGGTGTTGAGGCATTACTGGGGAGCCAGGGAGAAACCCAGGTGTTCCCCCCCTTCGGGAGGGCTTTGCGAGGAAGGCAGAGCAGAAGGCGAACTGGGTGAGGTGGTGTTGAGGCTCAGAGAAGGGGGAACTGTCAAAGCAGGATCAGTTTGGGTTTCGCATGGATAATGGATTTGGGATTTCTCTTTGAAAGCCTGGGGTGACATGACGGAGATCCCCTACCACACTGCACTGAGACGTGCACTTGTAGAGAATTAGTGCTGAGTTTCCCAAATAAATTATGTTATCATATAAGGCATTGACATGCCTTTGGCAAAACTACAATAAACACATAAAACAATATGATTAATCGGTAAACTTTTTTTTTTTAAGATAATGTTATTGGTGGTGATGGGAACTGGCCACTGCTAGATCTCTAAATTAGTAATAAATAACCTCTCTGGAGAAAACCTTTGACTAAGCAATTCTGCTTCAAGCTATTTAAGGAAATAAAATAAAAAAATGTGCCCAGAGGTACATGAATGAAGATATTCTGTACAGCATTCTTTTTTTTTTTTAAAGATTTTATTTATTTGAGAGAGAGAGTGAGAGAGAGAAAGAGCACAAGAGGGGGGAGCGGGAGAGGGAGAAGCAGACTCCCCGCTGAGCAGGGAGCCCGATGTGGGACTCGATCCTGGGACTCCAGGATCATGACCTGAGCCGAAGACAGTCGTTTAACCAACTGAGCCACCCAGGCGCCCTGTACAGCATTCTTTATAACTTTGAAAAAATCAGATCTACATGTGATTGATGAAAATGGAATTTCTGGTAAAAAAACTGGTGAAATAAACTATGGCACTTTTTTGTTATGGAATACTAGCAATTATAAATCTCGCTTCAGGAGCCCCTTTAATGACATGGGGGAAATGTTCATGATTATATCACTGAAATCATTCCAAGTTTCAAAAGTAAATATAAGATCAATTAAAAATACACGTGTGCTGGGGCGCCCGGGTGGTGCAGTTGGTTGAGCGTCTGACTCTTGGTTTCGGCTCAGGTTGTGATTTCAGGGTTGTGGGATCGAACCCTGTGTTGGGCTCCATACTCCGTGTGGTCCACTTAAGACTCCCTCTCCCCCTCTGCCCCTCCCCATCCCCCCACCCGCGTACACACATGCTCTTTCTCTCACAAATAAATCTTAAAAAAAAAAAATGTGTGTTTATCTACTGATTTAATGCAATCCCTACCAAAATACCGACAGCATTTTTCACAGAACTTGAACAAATAATCCTAAAACTTGCATGGAGCCATGAAAGACTCCGAATAGCCAAAGCAATCTTGAAAAAGAAGAACAAAGCTGGAGGCATCACAATCCCAGATTTCAAGATATACTACAAAGCTGTAGTGATCAAAATAGTATGGTGCTGGCACAAAAACAGACACATAGATCAATGGAACAGGATGGAAAATCCAGAACCAAACCCACGACCATATGGTCAATTAATCAATGACAAAGGAGGCCAGGATAGGCAATGGGGAAAAGACAGTCTCTTCAACAAATGGTGTTGGAAAACTGGACAGCAACATGCAAAAGGATGAAACTGGACCACTTTCTTACACCTTAAACACACACACACACGCAAAATTTGTGGTCAAAGACTTAAATGTGAGACCTGAAACCATAAAAATCTGAAAGAGAACATAGACAGTCATTTCTCTGACATCAGTCATAGCAACATTTTTCTAGACATGTCTCCTGAGGCAAGGGAAACAAAAGCAAAAATGAACTATTGGGACTTCATCAAAATAAAAAGCTTCTGCACAGCAAAGGAAACAACCAGCAAAACTGAAAGCCTACTGAGTGGGAGAAGATATTTGCAGATGACACTCAGGCTGGTTTCATTATTTGGCTATTGTAAATAATGCTGTAACAAACATAACGGTGCATATATTTTTTCAAATTAGCGTTTTTGTATTCTTTGGGTAAATACCCAGTAGTGGGATTATGGATTATATGGTAGCTCTATTTTTAACCTTTTGAGGAACAGCTATACTGTTTTCCAGAGTGGTTGCACCAGTTTGCATTCCCTCTAACAGTGCACGAGGGTTCCTTTTTCCCCACATCCTCACCAACACTTTTGTTTCTTGTGTTGTTGATTTCAGCCATTCTGACAGGTGTGAGGTGATACCTCATTGTGGTTTTGATTTGTATTTCCCTGATGATGAGTGATGTTGAGCATCTTTTCATGTATCTGTTGGCCACCTGGATGTCTTCTTTGGAGAAATGTCAGTTCATGTCTTCTGCCCATTTTAAAATTAGATTATTTGTGGTTTTGGTGTTGAGTTGTGTAAGTTCATTAAATATTCTGGACACTAACCCTTTATCGGATAAGTCATCTGCAAAGAGGTGGCAGGGAGGAGACACTAGATACACAGGCCTGTTCAAGGCTTATTCAAGGACCACCCCTGTAGGCTAAGGGGGCTAGAATGTGGATAGTTATCCAAAGGCCCTCTGAGGCTGCCATGCTGTGGTCAGTTGTGGGCCTTGGAGTAACCATAATTTTTATGGTGGATAAATCCAGTTAGATTTGGGTGTCATTTTCATTAGCATTCAATGAATGCTTATTCTGTTGTTTGTTTTAAAATTCATTTTGTTATTTATAACTCAGCACCAGATGTAGTGGCTAAACTCTAGGAATTCATTGGGAACCCAATCCAGTCATCACGTTACCTCATGGAGTGTAGAGTTGGACGGGGGAAACAGATCTTAATCAAATAATCACAAATTCAAATGTGACAAGCGGTTCACAGGAGAGCCACAGAGTCATGCTATGAGGTCTAAGAGATTTAATATACATGGGTGTATTCAGGAAAAGTTTCTCTGAGGCAGTAACACTATGGCATCCCAAAGATGAATAGGAGTTATCTTATTCAGGAAGAGGATTCCAGAGAGAGAGAGAGAGAGAGAGAGAGAATAGCATTTGCAAAGGTCCTGTGGCAGAAAAAGATGCAGTCATCTTGAGGGACTACAGGAAGGGTGGTGTGGTGATTGCTTAGGAGTAATGATGAACTCAGTGAAAAGTAAGGTTTGAGAAGTAAGCAGGACTCAGAGAAGCAGTGTAGGCCACGAAAATTAGCTTTGTCTCTGCCTTTACTAAACATAAAAATAAGGGCAGCTACCGAATGGTATCAAAATACAAGAGATGGAAATAATTACACAGTTGTTTTTAAGCTGTTCACCTTAACCTCATTCATTCAGCTCTGGTTTATTTGCTTCACAGGTTAGTATTCTGAGAAAGTTCTCCTTTCTCGGAAGGAGAAGCAGCTGGAAAAATGTTTCCAAATCAACAATGGGCCTATACAATGCCTGCAGGCAAATTACAAAAAGGCATCTCTTCTTTAAGATGCTTTCCTTCCTTGACTGGAAAATTGTCCTAATTTATTGAATTTGTTAGAGCAAAACTCTTTGCTGCCATCTTTCAGAAAATTGTCCTAATAAATATAAAAGCCTATGATTTTTATCATGCAAACAGTGCTTCCTTCAAGGTAGCACACTGTGCAATCCACACCCACACAACCATACTCAGTAGCCCTGAATCTCCAGTGATCGAAAAGAAAGGAGAAAAGCAACTTTTTCTTCCTTAAACTAAAATAGCATATTGCGTAAATGTAACAAAACATGCATTTTTGGTCTTCTGAGGCCTAATTATAACCACAACGAATTTTCCAATGCTTACCCATGCTGCCTGGGTTTAGTGCTGGTGGGAAAGAGTTAGAGGCTCCAATGGCAGAAGGGGGGCACCCTCCCCATGGCTGGTTGGATGGGGAAGAAGCGCTAACAAGAGTTTACACTAAAAATGCCGCATCTGTCAGATCTGGGATCCAAAGAGGAAACAAGGAGCCACACTGCAACCCCAGTTAACCAAAAGCCCTCCTGACTCTGCATGCCAGGCAGCACGTGAGAGCTGACCACGAGGGTGTGAAAACAGCCACGAGCCCGGCGAGAGTCCTGGTTTCCTTAAAACCGAAAGACACATCCACAACACTGTGCCTGAATGGGCTTTATGTTATTGTAACATTCCACTCTCGACCAGAATCTCTCTAAGTTTAAATGCACAACCAATCGTTTTCAAACACTACATCAAAAAATAGCAATAAAATCCTTGTGTACATATGAATTACTAAGTGTCCTAGAACTTGATATACACACTGAACTTACTACACCGTTGCTCTCTCATCTCATTTCCAGTTTCAATGTTTTTTCTCAAATGAAAATCACTACCCTCACAGATTTGTTTGGAAGATTCTGACCAAAAGATAAAAAAATAAATAAAATAAATAAAAATAAAAATTAAAAAAACGCCCTGTGGTCCGCTTCCATTTGGTCTCTATCCTACTGTCTTAAGCTATCATCTCTGATCCTGCCACCAACATCTTCTGGGAAACATTGTTCCAGTGGAGCAACTGGGGAAACAGAGGTGCACTTACTGTTCCCCGGACAGAAGACGAGCTGGGTCCTTCGTCTTCTTCCCCGTCTGGCTCCTGGTCTTCGTTGTCGGTCCAAGAGGACACGTCCTCTACTGAACTGGTCAGATCAGGCAAACTCTTAGATGTTAATCTCAGGAGGTCCTCGGCAGAGTTTTCCTATGGGGACACAATTAAAGAGTCATGAGTTACCCTACAGCACCAAGCAGTTCTGGGTCAAGGTCAAGGAAAACCCAGTAGAGTCAGCTGGGAGTAGTCAAGTGCTCTGAACCCAAAGACCAGATGGGAATGTATGTTCCACATTTCCAGGATGGCAAGGTTACATCACATGTCAGGGCTGTAGACCCAATTTAAACCCAAATCAATTTTTTTTTCCTGAAAAATCTGTGTTTCTTAGATATTTCTACAGGCAATCCAAATTCCCTGAACTTTAGATCCTTTGATACTCTCTCCTGCTTGTGTTCAGGGTAGTTTAAGTGCCCTCATAGGCAGGCCAACATCTTAGAGCTGTGGTCTCTGCCAGCGCTCCAAACCACCTCCCTCCATTCTCCCCTCCAACCCACATCTTCCATTCCGGCCATACTGACCTTCCAACACGCCAGGCTCTCCCCTATCCTGCTCCCTTTTCTGCCAGCAGCTCCCTCTGCCCAGTGAGCTCAACTTCCCAGCTCAGCCTGAGCACCCTCTCCTGCAAGCCCTCCTGGATCATCTCAGGAGGCATCCTGTTCGCCTTCCCCTTCTTCTCGAATGTCCTTTACTCTTTCTTTCATCACCTCGCATGTACGTCTGACTATACCATCTATCTCTCCTGCTTATCTGAGCGTTCCTCAAACTGAATGCCATTTCTACTCTCCGACGTGTCTCCAGGCCCAGGACAGAGCTCTAATACCCATGTGTTCCTCCCCCTCATGGCTCATCTCACTAGCATATGTTCATTAGAAAGAGATTAGGCTGTTGATTGAATCATGACGCCAAAGTGGAGACTGATAAGGTCTCTTCAAAGAAAGCAGCCCTTGAATAATTTTTAAAGGTCAACAAAATACATGGAATCAGACTCCATTAAGATTAGACTACAAAGAGGGCTCCACCATAACCCTTCCTTCCTATGCACAGACAAGGCCACAGGGGTCAGTGGGAGGCAGGTGAGGTCACCGAGGCCACGTGACAATCCCACATGCAGAGGTGGCCCATGTAGCCACTGAGAATTCTCCGGGGAGGCACCACAGCCCAGGAGGCCAAGGACCAGGGCTGTGGCTGATCTGATGCCAGAAAAGAGAGAAATGTGTCCTCCCTTCTCCCACAACAGCCATTTCTACAAGGAAGGAAGCCCGTGGAAAGCTTTGATCACCATATTCCTTGGGTCTTGACAGAAAGGAGAACAAGAGAAGACACCCATCTTAAACAAGGGGTGTTACAGACTATTCTTGAGTGGGTGCCTGGTGACAGTGATGTTTGTTGCTAGTTTGACGTGTGTCGCACCGTGGAGACACCCTCAGCTCATTCATGTCAGGTCAGTAATTGTGAATACTATATAGTTAGACCTTACCTCAGGGAAGGAAAAAGCTATGAAGCAAAAAGTGAGTTTAGCTCTCTCTCTTCTGGGAGGTCAGTTCTGTTAGACCATTAATGGAAAAGAGTTTTTAAAAAAGATGAATGTCCCAACTGGTGAGTAAATGGTACAACAGCCACAGGATAGAAGACTCCATGGTCATCAACAATGATGCTACAGAAATGCACTTTCTGATGCGGAAAGATTCTTACTGCATGCTACTTAGCGAAAAAGCAGGTGAGAAACAGTATTATCATTTTAATAATGGCCGTAACAATAAACTGGATGTAGTAATATGTGATAACCATAAAGGCAAACATTTCTCCAAGTGCTTCTTGCAACCAGCTGCAGTGTTTGGGCTCTTTATAGTTCATTTAATCTTCTGGACATTCCGTGAAGTAGTTACAGATTCTCACTGTCCAGGTGAGGAAACGGAGGTTTAAAAAAATGCAACAACTTGTTCAAGACACACAGCTTTAAAAAAAAAAAAAAGACAACACAGCTTTTAAAGGGCTGTGCTGGCTCCGATGTTCAGGGGACTCTGCCTCCAGGGGCACTCTGTCCCCTTGCGTTTGAGTCTGTTAAAAAAACACACCTGGAAGGACAGACCAGGTAATGGATAGAACTATCGGCAGTGTTATGAAAATGTTATCTTCCTTTTCTTCTAGCTTTTCTACATTAGACATAATAAATGCATATTACTTGTTAATAAAAACTGAGAGTGCTCGAGAGAGAGAGAAATCTGTATTGATATGCATATGCTTCCTGGAATATCAAAACACGCTGGGATATTCTGATTTCATTCATTTGACAAAAACTTTCTAAGCTTGTGTGTATAAGCAAACAACATATTTGTATGGAGCACATGAGACAGCCTGTCCCGAAGAAAGTAACGGTTATATTTTCAAAACAATGCCCTAAAGTTTGGTGACAAAGTGACTATTTTCTACAGCAATAATTTACATTTTTATTATTTTTTTATTCAGCAAATCAAAAGCTCTTTTTTTCCCCCTCCTTCTCTTCGAATGTAAAGACAAAACAAAGACTCTGGATTGCTTGCTCTTGTTGGATAACGAAGAGGCACAGATGCCAAGAGGTGTGGGAAGATGGACTTTTTCTCTCCAAGGTGGATGAGTATCTTGGAGGGTGGAGATTAAGTTTGGGAACAAACAGTGGGCAGCTGCTACAGCAACGTATTGCCTAGTTGTAAACGGAGTCTATGGGAGGAAATGAGAGGAATCACTCCTCCATGGGCTGGGTCATCTTTAGGCCCTTCAGCACAGATGGCCAAAAGCAATAGATTGAGAGCTGGAACACCCATTCCAGGGCTCCAGATGCCCTACAAAGACCCAGTGAGTGGCCTAAAGTCAAAGCCTCTGGCAGGAACACATTACCTTTCTTTAATGCCATTGGCTCCGTGTCCTTTATATCTTATTTGACTAAGGAGCAGCTTGGTGTACAGGAAGGAGCATGAAACTGAAGTCTTATGGACCCACGATGAAACCTGTTTCTGCCCCCCACTGCTTGTGTGACCTCTGGGTAAATTAACTAACCACTTAGATTTTAACGTCATCTTTTGAATTAAAAGAACTAATACCTCTCTCATGGGATTTCAAGAATTAAATGAGATCATAGGGAAAAAGCATCTGGCACCCACTGTGTACCTGATACATGTTAGCGTCCTTTCTTTGAGTCGGTGAGTGAGACCACAGATCAGGCATCATCCAGGAAACCAGCTTTCAAAACCCCCTTGTATGCTCCTTAATTATGCTTACCCATAAGTGGACTTTTTATTATTTAAATTTAAGTAGTATAATATTACAGTGCAATATTGGTTGCTGGAGTGGAATGCAGTGATTCATCACTAACACAAAGCACCCAGTGCTCATCACAACAAGTGCCCTCCTTAATGTCCATCACCCATCTAACCCATCCCCCACCCACCTCCCTCAGTCAACCCTCAGTTTGTTCTCTACTGTTGAGTATTTTATGGCTTGTTTCCTCTCTCCTTTTTTTCTTTTCCTCTTGCCCATATGTTCATCTATTTTCTTTCTTAAATTCCACATATGAATGAGATCATATGGTATTTGTCTTCCTCTGACTGACTTTTTTCACCTAGCATAATACATTCTAGCTCTATCCATGTTGTTGCAAATGGCAAGATTTCATTCTTTTTGATGGCTGAGTAATACTCCCGTGTGTGTGTGTGTGTGTGTGTGTGTGTGTGTGTGTGTGTATACACACACCACATTTTCTTTATCTATTCATCAGTTGATGGACATTTGGGCTCTCTCCTTGGTTTAGCTATTGTTGAAAATGCTGTTATAAACATTGGGGTGCATGTAACCCTTCGAACTGTATTTTTGTATCCTTTGGGTAAATACCTAGTAGGGCAATTGCTGGATTGTAGGTTAGTTCTATTTTTAACATTTTGAGGAGCCTCCATATTTTTCTCCAGTGTGGCTACACCAGTTTGCGTTCCTACCAAGAGTATAAGAAGTTTCCCTTTCTCTGCATCCTTGCCAACATCTGTTGTTTCCTGTGTTGTTAATTTTAGCCATCCTGACAGGTGTGAGGTGGTATCTCATTGTGGTTTTGACTTGTATTTCCCCGATGATGAGTGATGTTGAGCATCTTTTCATTTGTCTGTTAGCTATCTGGATGTCTTCTTTGGAAAAGTGTCTATTCATGTCTTCTGCCCATTTCTTAACTGGGTTGTTTCTTTTTTTTGGGTGTTGAATTTGAGAAGTTCTTTGTAGATTTTGGACACTAAACCTTTATCAGATATGTCATTTGCAAATATCTTCTCCAATTCTGTAGGCTACCTTTTAGTTTTGTTGTTTCCTTTGCTGTACAGAAGAGTTTTATCTCGATGAAATTCCAATAGTTCATTTTGCTTTTGTTTTCCTTGCCTGTGGTGTCGTGTCTAGAAAGAAGTTGCTATGGCTGAGGTAAAAGAGGTTGCTGCCTGTGTTCTCCTCTAGGATTTTGATGGTTTCCTGTCTTACATTAAGGTTTTTCAACCATTTTTGAATTTATTTTTATGTATGGTGTAAGCAAGTGATGAATGGACAGACCTTTCTTGTTTTTATTTTATGATTTCTTTGTGTCCATGTATTTGTGGATAACAGCTTGACCTAGAAAATGTTTTCTCTTCCCCATTTCCTGAACTAGCAGAAGAAAGAAGTCAGCATAGAAATAAAGGTTTGGTGGCCCCATGGTATGCTTATGCAGGAACCCCCGCATTCTTGAGCCACAGACTGTGGGGAGGTGGGCTGTGCAAACAAAGCACTCATGTGTGTGAGTGTTTAAGACCTGATGGTGCTTTTCAAACCCCATCACCTTTGGCTGAAAGGGAACTTGCTTGTCCTTCCCTTGCAGCATTTCCCTCTTGTGGAATTCAACAGACTGAGAGGGAACATCCCTGCTCTGCTCTCCTTCCTGTCCCTAGTGAGGAGACACCAGGGCGCCCTGTGGTATCTCTGGGAGGGGAGGAGGGAGCCTGTGATTGGAGACTGTCTCAACCCCTGCCTCTGGGGCCTCAATGCCAACCCTTCCTCCCAAGTCTGTGCCAAGGCTCTGCGTTCTTGTTGGAAGCCTGAGAGTCTGGGTTAAGGGACTGGGGTGAGAGGTGTAAAAGGAGGAAAACAGATTTTCCAAATAGTTCAAAATATTCTAATTATTAAATACTACAAATATAGGCAATACACCTTGTAATCTAAGAGGGAAAATACAGAAAAACCTGTGGATGTTAGGTTCAAAAAAATGATAGGAATAATGAGGACAGAATTAGCCCTACTGGCAAGAGCGTATTGCTGCGAAGGGTTGAGGGCTGGGGTGGCTTCCCATCACTGCTTCCATGAGTGAAATGAAGCCCAGTGGCTCCCCTGCACTAGCTGCCAAGTCCTGTGGGCGTTTTCCTGTCTTATCCACAGCAGATGGGAGCAGGGAGCAGAAGCAAGAGGGCTCGGGTCCTCTTTCTGGTCACACTGCTGTGGAGGCCTGCAGCCTTTATCCAGGGCGCTAAGGCTGGTGACACCAGGGGACAAAGTGGATGCTGGGGGCCCAGGACATCGGCATTGTTTTAACACACTCCAGGGATGGGGGCACAAGAAGCACCAGCCTGAGCCCTTGGGACAAAGAGGGGACAGCCAGAGGGAGGGGACGGACATGCTGTGCATCAAAGCCAGGGTCCTGGTGCTGCAGACAGCATCTAGGCCTCTGTGAGATGCAAGCCAGCCACAGGAGCTCGGCCTCACTGTCTCATCCGGAAAACTGAGGAGAGGGGGGGAAAGGGTGGCTGCACAAACAGGATTCATGGGGCTTCCTGCAGTGCCAACACTCTGAGGCCACGAGTCAGAACCAGGGCCTGTCGCCTGCCGTGGCTAACCCTGAACCTTTCTTCCTTCGGGACCCGGGAGAGGGGCAGCTCCACACCTCTCCTGCCTCCCTGCCTTCCAGTGGACACCCATGTCTCCTCTTCGGTTTCTCCCTGGGACAGGTGCTACTCTCTCTACCTTGTCCTTCTGTCCACCCTACCATTCCTCCCCCTTCCTTAGTCCTATTACTGCTTTTCCATCAACTAAGTATTTCAGATAACGGCCACCCTCGTGGGCTTGCCCTGTAGAATCACGGCCATTTAAATGGCCCCAGTAAACATGCAAGTGTGTGTGTATGTATGTGGCACAGGGAGGGCTCAAATTCAAATTTACCACCATCATTAAAAATATTAAAAACAAAAAACAAAAACTACCTACCTTGCTGGCTACCACCAGCTGAACCATTCCAGTGGCGGAGCGGAGAATGGCCACAGCTTCCTCATGGGAGAGCCCCACCAATAAGTGACCATTGATTACCAGCAGCTCATCTCCTAAGGACAGCCTGCCATCCCTGAGGAAATGGAGACGGGAAAAAAATCCCTTGTCAAGATATTCTGGGCTTGAGAAGGGACATTTTCCTGGAGCTGGGGAAGGTCGCAAGAGGGACGGTTAAAATCAGGCTAAGGAAAAAGTAGAGACGGCCAGCGACAGTTTGGGTTGGAATTTTTCCTTTGGTCTGGCTGGGTCCTGATGCCCACTTAGGGAAGCTCCATGATTTCACATGGTCACCTGGTAGCAAGCAAGTTCTTTTTTTTTTTTTTCCAGATAATCAAAATTTTGTATTTTATTAAGTTCATAATCACTGGAACATAAAAAATATACATGATTATTAGTAGAAATGAATAAATATGGCATAGATGTTCCAACTAAGCCCCAGTGACTGCAAGAAGCACAAATTATAAAAATATTCATATGCTTAAAAGAGCAGCTGGAGTAAGGGTTAACAATAAAATGTCAGAGTTTCTAGGAGAGCATTCCAGGGTAGGCCCAACTGCCCAGCAACAAAACAAAACAAACAAAAACACCACCACCTGGAGAAAAAAAAATTTTTGAAGGCCTCTTCAGCCGGAGAGAGCAAGAAGTGATTATTTCTATGCCTGGAGTGATGAGCAAGCAAGTTCTTAATTTACCACCATATCCTGCATCAACCTTAATGAAATGCTTCCCATCCAGGGGGAGACAATGATAGAGGAACTGAGACCCGAAGGTTTTTGGAAAGTCGAGTCATTCTGTTTTTAATCCTAATGCCATCCTGTCCTCACAACTGAGTTGTCAGCTGCGTCACTGAGCTAAGCACCCCAAACAAAGGTATCACAAGCTCAACAGAAAGCCTTCTCTAACCTGCTGTCCTCTCTCTTTCCAGGTGACAAGGCCCTGGCCATATTTCCTCTGTAGCACCTGGGACACTTCACTGCATGTGCATGTGCCCCCCCCCCACTCCCAACACACATGCAGCGTTATAGGACCTTGAGGATAAAGTCTCTCAGCACCATTTCCATCCTATAGCCACGCTTCATCAGGAGGATGGAATACAAAAATCAAACAGTCTGACCAGTTTACTGCTATTGCAGGTATCAGACCTGGTCTACAAATGTATTCTGTTTCTTTATTTCCTCTAAAGTAAATTACAGCTGACTTAGAGCTTCCTTCCCACTGGTCTGGGGCTGCGTGCCCTAGGGTGGGTCAAGGGCTGGGGTGGCACACTGTGCCAGAGCATTGTGCAGGTGCCTTCAATCATGACAGATCAACAGTCCTGTGGGTTCCACTTGAACCTCCAGTGGTCTGGTCTTCCATTATCCCAAAGGAGCCAGAGGTTTTTCATCGCTATTGCTAAATATGGGATAGGAAATCTGGTGAGGGGGATGGTCCCTAAGCCTAGGGTTCCACCATCCCCTCTGAAGACTTTCCATCAATACCCAAGGACAGACTGTGCCTGTCCCCAATATTCCTAGATTTACCCAACTTTCTCTCCAACATGTCGACTCTTCCCACCTTGCCTTGTTTCAGCAAATCAACCAGCTTCTCTCCATCCTTCCCTCCCTCACTGGTTTTTCTCTCAGTCGTCTAGGGCATGCATCATAATCTTCTCCATGAATTTAGGCTTTCACAGAAGACAGGAGGTACCAGAGACTTGTGACAGCCTCTGATTTCTATCCTTCAAAAATCCCTAAATCAGAGAAATGCTAAGAACCCTTCTAGTTGCTTGGACTGGAAAGAGAAGGGGAAAAGGAAGCCCACAGAGAACCTCAAGGAGGTGTGTGGGTGGGCCATCGAGAAAGAGAGGGATTCAGGAGTAAAAAAGAACACTAAGTTCTGACCAATGTCCTTGAATTTATTCAAGACCATCCCTACCCCCATCCCTTTTCTTATTTCCCTCTTCAATTCCATTTGTCTCATCTCCTATTATTAACTAGAATGCCCCACATGTGAATTATATACTCCAGAAGCAGAGAGAGACATGCATACAACTCCAGGCTAAGGGGGAAGAGAAAATGGCGAAACCTACTAGAAACAGCTCACATAGAAAACAGACAAGAACAGTTCTATATAAGTTTATCTCTGGGCACAGGAATTTCCTAATTGCCAACTTTCCAAAGACATGCTAGAACCTAAGACCTAGGATTAATGGGGAAATGGCTATCTGATGGGAGTTCCTCAAAGCATACCTCATGTGGGAAATTTAGTGATGCTCTTCTGGATAAAAACTAAGGTCTTAAATTTCCATAATGACTGCTGCCCAGATAACTGACAAGTGCAGTTATTCTTATCTCTAGTTGTTAGCATCTTACTCTGAGTCATGAGACTAGAACTGGGACATGACACATGATAGTTTCTACCCTTGTCCTCTCCTTAGTCTTCCAATCTTTACCTCCGACTCCTTCAACTCCACTTCATGAGATAGAGTTTTCAAAGCCCTCTCGGTCTAGGGCAGGCCACACCACTCTGGTTTGCCTATCCCCCTTATAACCGGGTACCTGGACTGAACACCAAATTCCCAACTAGATTTACCTCCCTCATCCGTGAAACTCTACCTTTATACACCTACTGTACACATGTGGGCACATAACACGTGCACACACCCCAGCGTGCCTTGTCAATAGTAGACGCCCTATATACATGGAAGCAATCAGCTAGCAAAGCAAAAGCATGCTGTCTATTTTGGTATAGTTACATCCTTGTAACTCCAAATGGATTTCTTTGTACATGCTCTGCCTAAGCACTGTCCTTCTTCCTACTTAAGACAATAGTTCAGATTAAAAAACAAGTTTTGAAGTATGAATTGTTCAGGCCACAAGGAGAAAAATTCCCATTTCCTTTTTTCCCCTTGGCATTTACATGACACACGTATGTAAGTATGTGTTGAAACCTGACAGAACTGACACAGCACATGAACTGTGGTCGCATTTAAAATCAATTGCTTTCCCAAGTCATTAGCCACAATCTTATGGGGGTTAAGATGTCAGGAATGTGGCATTCTGTTGCATAGCATAGTCTCAATAGGTAACCACATGTTACCAGTATCCTAAAAGTTAGGATAAGTAACAATCCCTTGAAACTCAAAACAGACTAGAAAGAAATCTGATCTCTTCTGATTCGGAGGAGCCTGTACCATCTCCAGCAATTAGCCACTTCCTGTGCCCAGAGGTGTGTTTAATTGAAACTGCTCATGTCTGATTTTCTCCTATGCTCCAGCATCATCTTTATGAACTGCAATTACCAGGGCTTTGACCAAATGGAAGAGTCCTACACCCGGAGGAAGGGAAGGGAGAGGATAAGGAGGCAGAGAAGAAGGGAGAGTTATCTAGTCACCTGTGAGCGGCACCTCCTTCCTTCACTTGAGTGACAACGATAGCGTGAGGTGAGCGCTTTGATCCTCGGCCTCCACTAACCTGAATTCCCAGCCCATCCGATTCTTTAAGCAGCTCCATCTTCCATATCCGGCCAACTTCCTCCTTGGAAGAAAAAGTGAGCACACTATGAAGTATATGGACAGACACATGGCATTGACCCAGGAGAGTGGAGCTGTTAGGTCAAGCCAAATAGTCATCAGTTGTCAACAGGTATTGTAGATGACCACAGAAAGAAAAAGCTCTGTGTGCTGGATCAGACTCTCTAGCTGCCTGTCTAATAGAACATTCTATGATGATGGAAATGTTCTATATTTGTACAATCCAACATGGAGCCACTAGCCACAGGTGGCTATTGAGTGCTTGAAAGGTGGGTAGTGGCAACTGAGATGATAAATGTTTTATTTCATTTAGTTTTAATTAAATTAAATAGCTACCTGTGGCGAGTGGCTATAATATTGGACAGCAAGGGTGATTATCCAATTTCCTGACCAGGATTCTGTTAAGGAAAACTTCTTCTGCCTGAAACCTGGATACCACTGTGTGTATAAACACTGGCTGTGTCTGGGTTCCATTTATTTACACACAGCTACTAATTAATAAAGGAAGACGAAAGGAAGGCAAAGATAGGTCTTGGTGCCAGGAGACTTCAACTAATTTGAGCCCAGTTCTGACACTTAGTACTTATGAAAGTCCTTATGCCTAAAACCCTCAGTTTCCTTGCCTCTAAAGTGGGGATAATTATTAATACTTTCAGATTTGTCATTAGGATTAAATGAGATATTTACGGAAGCAGCAGTGCTTCTGGCACCTAGTAGAGACATAATAAATGTTGACTGGTAACCTTATATTATTTATATATGCACATGTATATGGTAGAACCATCATATTGTAATATACCCAGTGGTACTGTAACAGTGCTGCATGGGGACAAATGGCAGCTACAGTTGTGGTGAGCATAGCATAATGTGTAGTTGTACAATCACTATGTTGTACCCCTGAAACAGATGTAACATTGTGTGTCAACTATACATCATTAAAAAAAACCCTATCATGTTGAATTGAATCGCAAACTTCCTAAGAACATAAAAATGAGATCTCTGGTGGGAGAAACCAAAACAGGAAATTAATTGATGAATTTGTTATTGGCTTCTATAGACATTGGTCTGTACACTCTTTAAATACATTAAAACATGCTTCAACCCTTATAAAAATCTATTCTTTAAAAAAACTAATCATGTCTCTAAGTCCTCTGGACTAATGGTAGCTTTTCTTCTTTGGTTAATTCTCCGTTTGACTCCCTATTTTATGCCTGATGCAAAATGTTTGAGTTCCTTCAGATACGTGGGTGTTCAGAGAAATGAAAGCAAAACCTTCCAAGGTGATTTACTTTGGGGGTCTTACGTTAGGCTCACTCCTGTAAGTTCTTTTTATCTCTAGGTCTATGGGTATGCATTCCTTAACATATAAAACAAAAGCCATGTCCTTTCCTCATCCATCATGAAGGTCTAATGGAACCATTAAGGTCCAATATGGACAAAGCCATCCTCCTCCTAGAAACAGGCAACCTTCCCATTTAAGCTGCTTGCAAAAGAGAAAGAATGTGAAGTATTCAGAAAATCTGAAATACATACTGTCAGAAACTAAAACGAAACTTTATGCAATAGTAAAAAAACCAGATGTTAAACAGTCACTGATGTGCAGCAGTAAGAACGTCTGGGGAAATTATTAACAGACAGAGACCTGTTGGATCCTATACTTTCTCGAGTCAGCACTGCTCAGCGGGGCTCCATTGCTCTGGCAACATGCAGTGGTGCCCACGGTCTCCTTCATCTGCTGACCACAGACAAACGATGCCTGTCTGGCCAAATGTAACTTCAGAAGTCACTGGCTTACCGCAGTAGTTCATGAACTTGTCAACAATCCCTATATCATCCAATCATTTCACTTTGGACTCCATGGTTTTTGGTTTGTTTCCTCTGACCTCTGGAACACCTTTATCTCTTCTCCATTCAGAAATAACCTCCTGGCCTTCAAAGTCTCTCACAGCTCCACTATTTCCTAAAAGCCATCCTTGAGAGTCACTGCTACTGACAAGATGGCAACTTTCGACACATGAGGCCCTATGGCCTAGTGGATAGCCCCAAAGGGAACAAATTCAGGGATGTGCTGATTAGCTGTTGTCCCGGCTTGCTCCTATGGGCCTACCCTATGGCTGCCTCCCTGGGCCTAACAAAGTAGCTGAGAAACTTGAGCATAATGGTGGCTTGACTTGTTTTTTCCATGGAAGATATGCCGTGGCTACTAGGGTCTTGACGGTATGGGACAGTGCTCCTCCCTCTCCCAGTACAGAAGAGCTGTGAAATCCTTTCCCCAAAGCAAAAGGGACCATTATTAGAGTCTAGGACTAAGAAAATGCATTTGGCTTTAGCCCAAATTAGTAGAAACCTATTCATCCCATTACTAGCTGCATCATCATTTCCCCCCATCCTACCATCTTTTTGTTAAACAGAACATGTTACGTACGGTTCATAGAGGGTATGACAATACTAGATATACAGTCCTTTCTCATTTTTAAATGCTTTTAGAAATAGAACTTGTGGCAAGAAACATGCAAAACTATGATCATGGAGAAAGAATAATGACCTAATGTATATACTCTTGACAAAAGAGCTAAAGACAATTTTCATTAAGAGCACTCACATGCCCCCTTTATACCCTTGCCTAATAACACACACAAATAGTTAAATGCAAAACAAAACACATATCTAATAAAAACAGCTTCAGAGGGCAGGGATGACCAATCTGTAATACAGCCCCCAACTATGCTAGTCAAGAAGCAGATCTTCTTTTTCACTTTTATCCAATAACATGAGTTTTTTCCTCCATAATTGAAAGTAGGAACTATAAGGGGGGAGTTCAAAGAAGTCCATGCAAGTTTCCCAGCTCTGGAATTTCTTGATTATCTAATGAGGAGTTCAGAGGTACACAAAGGAAGGCACAAACAGGAAGAAAGAGGCAGATGTTATCAGTCTCAATTGTCCAACTGTCAGTATTAAATCTAGCAGCCCACAGCTAAAAGCAGTGTTCAGTTACAAATAAAATCAGCGTCTGAAGTTTATGAGGCTAAAGCTGGCACTGGCAGAAAATCAACAGGCCAACTTAAATATAATAATATTAAGTATATTTCCAACTGCCTCCTTACAATTCCACTTGGGTATCTAATACACACTTCAGTATGGTCAAAACAGGACTCTGCCTCCCTCTCACTCCTGGCTTTCTCACCTCCATGGGAAGAGCACCATCATCTACTCAAGCTAAAGAGGATATGCAAACTAAAAGCTCACAAGTTATCTTTGATTCCTCCTTCTATTTCCTATATCCAAACCATAAGCAAGATCTGTAGATTCTACTTGCAAAACACACCCACATCCACCTACTTCCGCTCCTCCCTGCCACCACCACTGTCAAGACCACCAGCATCTCTAGCTTGAGTTATCACGATAGCCTCCAATCTGGTCTCCCTTTTTATTTTTTGCTCCCTACAATCTCCTATTCTCCATTACACATCTAGGGGGGACTTTTTTTTTTTTTTTAAAGATTTATTTATTTATTTTAGAGGGAGAGAGAAGGTAAGCAGGGGCAGAGGGAGAGAGAGAGAAACCTCCAGCAGACTTCCCACTGAGCATGGAGCCTGACATGGGGCTTGATCCCAGGACCCTGATGATCATGATCTGAGCTGAAATCAGGAGTTCACCACTTAAGACTGAGTCACCCAGGGTGAACTTTTAAAAAACATATATCATGATGCACTCAGCTTAAACCTTCCAATAGCTCCCTACTAGACTCAGACTGAGGTCTAAATCTTTGAGGTGGCTTACACAAACCTCTACATCTAGTCCCGCCCATGCTCCCAAATCACCTCCCCGTGCTTTCCCCATCGCTCACTGTGCTTCGGTCTCTCTGCCCCTGGAACACTCCATCACTCCTGCCTAGGACAGCTGCATGTGCTGGCTCCTCCCTGGAAATATTCTGCCCCCAGATTTTGTAGGGCTGGCCTTTCCTGACACTCAGGCTTCAGCTCCAACATTGCCTCTTTAATGAGGTCTTCATTGATACCAATTTCAGCTAACTCCCCACCAGGACGCTGCCCAGGCATCTTTCATGTTACTGCTTTATTTCATTTATAGTACCAGTTGTCACCATCTAACATTTAGATTCAGTTATTTGCTTGTTTATTGCTTGTGGCCCCTTATCTGTGATAAGTGCCATGGGACAGAACCATGTCTCTCATCTATTAGCAGGTTCTCCAGCAACTAGAACAGTGCCTAGCCCATAACAATACTGCATAAATGCCACAGAATTAACAAATATAGGATGTTAATCTTATGGTTTTTCAGAAGTTACTGAGAGTGACATTAAGAGGCTCGCCCAGATGGGAAACCTGTATGTTTGCCAATGTTTAGCATGTGAACACCCAATCCAGTTGTAGAGACAATTGAGTTCTGAAACAGATCCTGTCTAGACAGATGGCTCAAGCCTTTGCTTCCTTTTACATTGGCTTAAAGGGCAATGAGACTCTGTCAGCCTGTGGAGAAAAAGCCAAACCATGCAAAATTGGATGCTATGGACTTTTGTATTAATGTTGTTGAAGTGCTACCCTTTCCTATAAAATGCCAATTACTGTGTGATGCTCACACATGCATCTCTTCACGGACGCAAAAAAAAAAAAAAAAAAAAAAAGGATTTATTTACAAAACAGAGGTGGTACATTAAAGGGAGCTATCTCGGCAGCATTTAAATGACCTCATCTTCTGCTGGAACCAAAAATAATATTTCACAATAGCATCTTTTCTCCAAATGTGAGAAGAAACATCATCCAACTAGAATTTTACTGCAGTAAATCGTCTGGCTCTAGTTGCAAACTTAGATCCTGAGACTGTTTGCCTATCCCTTCTTATTTAGAATGATCAGTAAGAAATAAAAAGATATGTGATCAATGTCACAGTTGAAGTTCCTGAGTCATCAGACCAAAATGTTCAGTTTACGGGTGAGGAGATGGAAGCTCAGAGGAAGAACATGGCAGCCTGACGGCCACAGAATGGGGGATGGAAGAACGAGGGCTAGAACCTGGTGTCCCATCTCTCAGGCCTGAAGCTCTTGGGTGCCTTCATTAATAAACACCTACAGAGCACCTGCAGGTGCAAGGCAGTGAGCCAGGACACAAAGACAAGTAAGGTCCTTGCCGTTCAAGTCTACTGGGGACACAACAAGCCACATGGTAATTGGAATATGTGGGATTCATGCATTGATGAAGATGAGAAGGGGGCACTGCAGGAGCCCAAAGAGGAGACGCCTAAAGATGGGGCAGGTGGCAGAAGGGTCACAGAAGCCTCCTAGAGGAGTGTGTCATGGTGTTCGTCCCCCAGAAACGGAAGAAGCTAAGCTACATGGGGGAGGAGAGGAGAAACAGGATAGCAAGAGCAGCATGTGCAAAGGCTCAGAGGAGATATTGATCATAGTCCTTTGCAAAAAATTGTGGCTAATTCAGCCCAAACAGGGGAGGAAGAAAGCAGTGAGAGATGAAGGCAGAAAGTTAAGCAGGGATCATACAGTGAAAGGGTTCCTGTGCTTCACAAAGCTAAGGAGCTTGGGTATTACCCTGAAGGTAAAGCGGACCCACCCAAAGGGCTTAAGCTTCAGTGTGTGTGAGGATGCACACACATGCCTGAGGTGCTCTCTTTAGAAAGGTCTCTCTGGTTGCTGTGGAGACACTGGATGACGGGATGACAGTGGACAGTGGGATGGGTAGTGGAATACCAGGACCACCATGTGGGAAATGAAAGCCGTTTGACCCAGATAGAAAGGGAGAGAGACCCCGAAGGGAGCCGGGGTTGACAGGACTTGGTGATCAACTGGACAGTGTGGAAGGAAGAGGGCAGCATTTCAGTTGACTCCAGGATGCCAACTGTCCCAGTTTGCTGGGATGAAGGCATTTCCTAGGATGTGGGATTGTCAGCACAAAACCAGGGAAAGTTCTAGACAAAGCAGGTGAGTGACTGCTAGTTGAATCTCAGGTTTCTGGCTTGGGCAACTTTACGGGTGGTGGAACCTGGAATATTGGAGCCAGCTTGGTGATGTGGGAAAGTCATGCGTCAAGTTTTAGGCATGATGTGAAATACCCAAGATGGAGATATACTGTAGGCAGGTGGTAGAAAGGATGGGGTGGGGGGGCTCAGGAGAGAGGTGAAGGAGCAGACATGGACTGAAGAGGGACATTACCACATAGAAGGATAGAAGTTCACCCAGTGACCATGGGGGGAGGACTTACTAGAATAGGACCACCCTCATGCTGTTTCTGCTTGATGCAAACATCAGGGACAACCTAGGAGATGTCCTGGGTGTGACTCTCCTTCTCAGTTTCCTTTTCCTGCATATTCAGACCTGGGGCAGCCTTCCTGAGGTCTCTGCAGACCACCTGCACTGAACGACTCAGACTTCCTGAGGTCTCTGCTGAGGGAAGAGGTCTGATACTGTACAGGCGAATTACACGTGTTAGGGTGAGACCACAAATGGACTCATAGACACATACACCAGCTATAAATCAATTCACCTGGCTGGCAAATGGTAAGATTCTTTTTTTCACTATTATGTGACTAAGTTGTATTTATTTTTTACCACGCTGCATTACAAAAATACACATCTGTAATAAACAGGCTTGCAAGAACTTTCCCCTTGGATGAGTAATGGTCTTCACTAGACAGGGAGTAAGGAACTCTGACCTCAGTTCTAAAATTGCCTATCTGTGTCCTAGGAGATTATGTTTTAGACAATGGGACCAACTTTTGTAGTTTCAAAGATTAATCTGGTTGCATATGTATTATTATGTGTTGATATTTCATAGAAACATATGGCTTTTTAAAAAGAAGATATTTATTAGAGGAAATATGTTTCCTATAGTTCTGTTAAAGGGAAAGAGGATATGAAAACAAAGACTGAAGATTTATTTTCATGTAACAAATAACAGTCTATGAAAAAGAAGCATCCGACAAATAAAAATGGTCTGAATGACTATAAGCCTTTTCTGTAATTTATTAAGTCTTTGTAGATATATTAAATCATTAATAAAGCAGAAATGGAACAATGTTTACATGTTTAATCTCCCATTATTCAAATGCAATGGAATTTTTTTCCCTGAGGGCTTAAGAGGTAAATACCTAATTTTTGTTTTTCTGGAAATTCCATTTTAGCATGACCTTGGGCTCATCCTGGAGTAAAAATAAAAATCTGCTTAGCCCAAGAACCTACAGGACTTTCTGTGATGGTCTACTGGTCCCAATGTGGGGGGCCACCTGGATGCAGGGGAAGCTGTGACGACCTACTTCTCGCCAACTCTATCAATCCTGGGTAAATGCATCAAACAATGATGCTTCTGGGGCAGAAAGGGTGTTAAAATATATTCGTGCCTGAGAGGGTCTGTGGCCTATGCTGACTTTCTAAGATGGAAAGTATAACCCAGGGTCAATACTCGCTCTCCAGATTATGGCCAGTTGTGAAGAATGCAAATTCCAGATGGCAGGTCTCTCCTTTTTATAGGCATGTGGCTTTAAAAAAATGTCCCAAAGGCAAAAGATCTAGTTTTTTTTTTTTTTTTAAATCACCGTTTCATTTATATCTTCTTGGACATTTGACCTTGAGTGCAAAAACCAGGCAAAGAAACTCTGATATGTGTAGTCTTCAGATAGTCTAATCCAGAAATTCAATTTTACATTATTGACTTCAGTTAAGATGAGCAGAGAATAGTAGCCTCTTAAATGTTCTTTTTTTTTTCTTTTAAAGTCATTTCCAAATTATTTCCACTGTGTCCTAGGTCAAATGAAAGCCTGTTTGTTTGGACTGTATATGAGATTCAATCTCTTTTGGTAACTTAAACCTTCAAAATGATTAAGAGAACCAACACTTCCTAATTTATTCACTCTAGGCTTTCTGTGCATTCATAATTTAATCATTAGGAGAACAAGTCATATCCAAGTAGAGTATTACCAATAAGAAACACATTATAATCTTTTTATTGCCCTTAATTCTTTTTTGAGGGGGACCATAAAGTTTGTAGAAAATCATTGATAGAGACATTACTTTTTTCTTCTTCATTTACACCTTCCATCTACAAATCATGCGTCTCTGGGTAAGGCTTTATGAAGATCACTGAGATCCTCAGATGAAGGAACATGGTCCCCTGAGAGAGGGGTTATTTTAATTCCTCTCCTCTCATTAAATAGATTAGCTATGATTGCAGAAATATGCATGAAATAGACTTACTAGAAATTCTATTCACTGCCAGGGTACCATTTCAGCAGCCTGCAAAGCTGAACTTGATACTTCTTCTGTGCCCATTTTCTATCTTTCCAACTTTCTCTTTTATCCCGAAAGGGTGTCTCCTGGAGGGACTCAGGAAACCAATCAGAAACCACGTAGTAAGTTACTGCTTCATTAGGAACCCACAAGAGTATCTGCCAAGAGGATTCTTGGAAGGCACATGCTTACCCGAAAGAAATATCACTTCAAGAGAGAATGCTGGTTATAATGAAGGAGATGATTTGAGGCTAGAAGTGTACGCATTACCATTCAGAGTATACCACATCTGCTTTGCCTTTAGGGAAGACCAACCCTGACCATCGCAGCTGGATATCACAGTATCAGAGATTTCTGTGAAATTTCCAACCTTTACTGGAATTCAGCAATTTAATAATATAAACCCATAAAAATGTCACTGGTTTTGAAGTGTTAAAAAGAAAAGCAGATGCTTCTCTGCGTGGTGAATATCCTTCCTGTGTAATACTGAGGCTTGAATGTTCATGCTATCAGCTGCCACCAGGAATTCTTGGCCTTGCTGTGGCAATTCCGCTGGGGATGGTAGTGATAAATAATGATGCAGTTCAAGTACTTTATCTGGGCCTCATATGACTCAAATTATACCACAGAAGGCTTGAATTTTCCACTTAGGATCACTCAACTAGCTCTTTATTTAAGTAGGATAAAATGACTTGGATTTTTTTTTTGTTATTGTTATGTCCTCTGACCATTTATCATAATAAATGTGTTGGCTTCCAAATACAAGGCCATCTTAGATATATTTTCTAAGCCGTAAAAGCAACTTCAACAGTATTTCTTTTAAAATTCAGGTTCTATAATCAAACCAAAGCTTACCCGTGCCAGGCAGTCACTTGATTGGAAGTCTGTCTTCCCAGATTTTGAGAAGCGGCGTTTGTCATTGCTTGTGGGTAGAGAAGCATCTGTCTTTGGAATGCTATGCTCTGTCCCTCTGTCTGCTTCTGAACTGTCTAGATGGGATCCAGCCAGCTCCTTGAGAGATTCTGAGCCATTTTCTAGCTCAAAAGCATGACCATTTCCAAGTTCAGGGTCTGGGCCATTGTCCAGCTCAGAGATGGGGTCATTGTCAAACTCACAGCCAGGGCTGCTCTTGGGTTCTTCAGTGGCCTTCTGGGTAGACGGCCTGGAAATGACCCCAAACTTTCTTGCTCGTTTCCCCTTTTTCACAGTTTGATCACCCAGCTCCAAGGAAGGTGTCTCTCCTGGTTCAGAGCTGTTGCTACTGTTGCCGTTATAAGGAGAATGGACTTTGTGCTTGAAGCGGCGCAGCATGATCAGGTAGATAAAGCCGCCATTCCAGCACTGCTCAGCCAGGTAACTGCAACAAACACAGAGGTGCCGGTTAAAACCCTCAAAACATCCTTCTTGACCAGTGCATCGGGCTGACACATTCAGCAGCCCACACAGGACCCGTGTGATTAACACCCTGCCCAAGCAATTGAGGTACTAAGCTTCCTAAAGAGACTCAGTACTCCATTCTTTTAATCTACATAATTGCTGATGATAAAAATAACCCCCAAACAAACCAAAACCCCCAGGAACTAGAAATTACTAATGAAAATACCCTAGGGTAAGTAGTTAGAAATGGGTTTTTCTATTCACAGAGCCAATCCTAATATATGATTAAAAAAACAATAATTCTCCCTTTCCTCAACAATTTCTTACATCAGAATTATGCTAGCCTCCCATTCACATAGTTTTAAAATTAAGAAAAAAAATTTTAAGTGAACTATGCCCAGTGTGGGGCTTGAACTCATGACCCTGATACCAAGAGTTGCATGCTCTATGGACTGAGCCAGCAGGCACTCCTCCATTCATATAGTTTTGCCATAATTACTCTGCAAGTCCCCAGGGTGAAGAATAGCTGAAATCGATTGAGAGAAAAGTAAGGTTTTGCTCTTAGGATCAAAATATCTACTGCACAACAAGAACCTCTGCCTCACAGCATTAAAGTGATAAAAGAGCACAGCGGGGAGGGGTGTTGGCTGGTATCAAAATGCAACTGGTAAATAAGCGCTGGGAGGTGTACGCTGCATTAAATGAGCATCAGGTTCACTTCCTGATAATGGTTCTAGTTTGGGTTGTTCCTGGAACACAAGGAGTCTCATTTTCAGTCTGGGTATTGCATTAGGAGGAACCCCAACATAATGAAAAACATGCAGACATAGGGTGACGGAGACAAAGAAGGCTTTTGGAAACTGTGTCAACGAGGAAAAGTGAGAGGAAAGAGGGATCTTAGCTCAATGAAGACAAGCCAGGCTTGGTTGTGTTTCACGTACTTGAGGAGTGCCAAACACTCAGAAGCAGGAAATGATAGAAATGAGATGATGCATGTGAAGACTGACACACAATAACTGCTCCAGATCTTAAGGAATAACCATAAATAGAACATCAAAGGAGATAAGTCATTAGTGGTATTCAGGACCATGAAAGCTTTAGCAAAGAAAACACACTTGCTCAAAGTCAGGAAACCAGGCTGGGCTAGACCCTCCACTCATGTCACCCAAGATAAAGAAACACACACCCCAGATGAACCCAGGGAAATGCCTTCACCATGGAATGTTGCCACATTCTACACATCACCCGGTCACAAGCAAAGAATGTCAACAACCAAATCCTTAATGAGCTGGACCTGCTTCCGGTCTTTATGTGCCCCCAGAGAGGGGGGCCTGGGGCTTTGTTGCCTATGTCCTCAATAAGTGAAAAGCAGAGAACTTTTTCAAGTATGCCAAGCTCGCTGCTCTCCCTCCAGGCCTGAAGCTCAGACCTGAGAGCTGGGGCAGTTAGTATGCAGGAAGGAGCCAGGCTATAAGGAGAGGTGACCAGCTGTGTTTGAAATGTACTAAATTCTGGGCCAAAGCCATGTATCACTCATACCTAATGGTCAGGTTAATGCAATAGTGTCAGTCTCACTGAAGAAGAGAATAATTCTGAATTTTTACCATGGAGTAGAGTGAACAAGAGAGACGGGTCCTCAAACAACCACCAAAGTCAGCAAAAACTTTTCTTTGATCCCGGGCTATAAACCATGGTAATGAACTTACACATGAAAGCCAGGTAGATAAAGGTTACCACACAGACCTCGGGTTGTTCTGTGTAATACAGTGAAATGAACAGGTAAAGAGCAGTCCACTAGAGACTAGTAAATGAAAATTAAACTTGGTTCTCAGCACAATTTTTCTACAATGTTTAGATTTCATTTTCTTGAGTTGTGTATTTTTTTTTCTACCCTGGAAAAATCTCTGCAAAGGTATAAAATCTTAAGAGTAGTTATTAGCCAGGTTGTAAGGGTTTCTTTGAGCAAATCACTGCTCTTAATGTAAGACATATGCCAGATGTTCTGAAGAACAGTGTAGGGTAGTAAAAACAGGACCAGGGAGAGAATCAGACACCCAAGTTCTCATTTTGGCTTTGGCCTAACCGTGTATAACTATGGTGATTATACTAAATTTTCATCAACCTACAAACAGAGAGATAAAATGAAGTATATCCCTATAAAGGAATATTATTTAGCAATAAAAAGAATGAAGTATATGCTCTAACTTACGTGAAGCTTGAAAACATGAGGCCAGGTGAAAGATGCCAGACCACAAAAGGCCATATGTCACTCCATTTATAGGACATTTCCAGAATAGGCAAATCCATAGAGACAGGAAGTGGATCAGTGGTTGCCAGGAGCTGGGGGGAAGGGAGAACTGGGACTGCTAACAGGTACAGGATTTTTTAGGGGTGATGGAAATGTTCTGGAATTAGTGGTGATGGTCGTACAGCATAGTGAATATACTCACTGAATTGTATACTTAAAAAGAGTGAATTTTATGTGATGTGAATTCTGTCTCATTTAAAAAACAATAGCAAATATAATAATTCTGGCCAAGTTTTGAGTTACTTCTTTGAGTAGGTGCTCTGTAAGAACACTCTTTGCAGAAGAAGAAACTGAAGCTCAGAAATATTAGTTATGTGCCCAGGTTCACATAACTGCCAAGTGGTTGACCCAGGCCCTCCTGCTTCCCAAACCCCACGTGCACTGTACACTTGTGATGTTTCAATCACCCTAGTGTCCTCATCTGTAACATGAGGGTGTTAAAATGGGTCATCTCCAAGTTGCTTCTACATTTTAATAACTGTGAATGCTAGTTTCTTGGGAAGACTTCTGGGGATTAAAGGAGCAGGCCATCCAGAAGGTACTAACCCAGTGCCAAGGACAAAACAGCACCCTGGAACAACAGAAACATTCCTTTTTTATGTCCAAGTTGTCCTAGGTTTCCTGGACATTTACCATCAGTCAGAAAAAGATCCTACCTGGAGAGGCAATTCCTTTATGATTGCTTTGGGGATTCTATCTTTTGCATTAAAAACTCCAAACAATTTGATGGGTTCTGTGCAGAGACCTTCTTTTCAGTGTCGAAAAGGCAGGCCCATTGACTCAGAGCATAGGATCTTGGATATTTCTACTCTCATGGAAGCTCCAAGAGCCTTGTGACTGAGATTATTTTATTCAGAAATTTCTACAGGGTCCTTGCTCAACAGTATTACAAAGCAAGAGGAGTTTATCTTCAATTTGGCACCATCTCCCCATCGTCGCCTGACTTCCTAGCAATAAATAAGGCTCTGACACCTTCAGGGAACTGTATGACAGGTTATTTTATTCCTTCCTGGATACTGAACCTTCTAAGGTCATCCCAAAGACAAAGTGTAATGAATGAACTATGGATACCACAACAGCTTGGTGAGAAGACTTTTAGGCAGGGGGTAGTTTTCTTGTAATTCTTCCAATCACCTTATATGTAATGCCTCCACATTCCCTATCCATCCGTACTGAAATGACTTACCTAACTTTTCCAGCACTTTCCTAGCTAATTCATACTTCCAAATCTCTGTTTCTATTCAAAAGAATTCCTACCCACCATTAGACTCTTTAGACTTCCAAGTCAGTCTTTGAGAAAGAAGAAATGGAACACAATCCTGGTCCAGAAAAATAGGTCTCCTCTTCAACAACAACAGGTAAAATTAACCTTTCAGAAGCTTCTCTACCATATAATTACTTTTTGGTTTCTCCCCAAAATTTGAAACTGTCCTCTGGCATATGAAGTTATTAATTCAATTAAATTAAAATGTATTTGATTTTGACCATCCCAGGATAGTCCATATCCATATGGAGCATATCCAGAAATGAAGTTCCAAATTCTAGCCCAGAACCCTCCCTCTGAAATGTGTTGAGGTTCCTCATTTCACTTGGTCTTCGCAAGCACCTTTTGTGACTAAATCCCTTCCCACCTCCCTTTCCCCTCAAAATGTGCTTTAACCAAAAATAAATAAATAAATAAATAAATAAATAAATAAATAAATAAATAAAGTTTTGAGCACCTCCTCTGTTTCTTGATCTTCTATCCTAATTCTGGAGTCTGGGCTCTTCAGAGGTGGGAGGCCTAGGAAGGGTCGGCAGGTGAGGTTGGGTGCTAGGAAAAGCTAGAGGGATAAAGCTTCCTGGAGTTTAAAGAATAAGGACAGGCAGGGAAGAGATAAGAGAGAGGCAAAGACAGATAGGTGTTAGAAGGCCGACACACATTATTTGCCCATGCCCCAATTCTATCAAAAGAAGGCTTGAGGCAGCTGTGCAATTTTGAAATTCTAGACTGTTTTGCCAACGATCTCAGAAGAAGCAATCTCCAGGTGCCTTTGAAAATCCTCTTGGGCATCTGGCCATCAATTATTGATGCCTGGTACATAGTGTGAACCCACAGAGGGGTGTTGCCAGGCAGAACCATTGGTGTATATGTATGTGTAATTCAGAGTAAGTTGGATCACCACCCCTGGGCATTGGCCTGTAGCACAATGCCATGAAAGCATTGTATAACTCAGACAACATAAAAGAATTCTAGAACTCAGACTTTTCTGCAAAGCAGACATTCTTACTTCATCTGAGTAAGTCTGGTCCCCAGCACAGACAATAGGAGAACAAACACTGATGGCAAGACGTTTCTAGATGAGTTCCTACGACCGGGTATGAGTTTTACAAAATGGGACTAACTACTAATAGCCACTCTGTCTAACACACAGGACGAACGGAGATCAATTGTTCTTGCCCATGACTGCCTCTTGCCTAAGAAGCAAGGGGGAGGCTAAGAAGCTGTTTGTTTTCCTTTGAAAACCTGCTAAGCCTAATTAACCCAGAGGGCTGTCTGAGGTTGTAAATCTGTAGGTTCCCAGAGGAGAATGGGTTGAGAGGAAGTGTTAAATATATACAGATTAATTTCCCAGTGAAGTCTTGGCTGGGAAACGGAGGGAGGCAAGTTCGGACAGCTCTGTAGGAGCAGGTGGGAGGATGACAAACATTTCCTGGAGAACCAGATTCCCCAAGGGCAGTCTCTCTCAGGCGCTGCCTCCCAGCTACTTGGTACTTCAGGCTTACTTCTCCCCAGTTCCACAACCTTCCCTGGAATGAGCCGAACTTTCTTTCGGGACTCTGTAGGCAGAATTTTTGGGCTGTATATTGTGCTGAGAAGAGTGACTGCTATCCGTGTGTGCTCATATAGCCATTTCTGAAAACAAATCCATCTACTTCTTTGCTAGGACAGCCCCGATTAGGTGGAAGAAGATGGGGCTCAGGTACCAGTAAGGCTCTGAAAACAGACCGGAGTCTAGGCTTAGAGTATAAGTGAATAGAACACCGTATTCCAACTGCTGCGTGAGGGAGGTGACTGATGCGGCCCAGTTTTGCTGATTCTCACCTCCCTCTCCAGCATCAACAGCTGGGGGTCAGCAACTCTTTCCTCTTCTCCCTCATCTGGAGTTAAGAACAGAGAATATGAATACAGGAATCCGTTCTCTTGTTACAAAATCTGTATTTAATTATTTTTTATCAGACAACTTGGATTGGGAAACAGAAGTTGATAGTGAAGAATAGGGTAAATATTTATTCAAGAATTTTTTCTGAACTATGATACAATATTAGCCATTCAAACCCAACCCAAATTATCAGCTACCAAAACTTGCCACCACCACATAGCTTAGCCGTAAAATTTTTTTTT